TGTGTCGAATCGGTCCCATTTGCTTTTTATTTTCTGTGTAAACGTTATGCCTGTTTCTTATTTTAGTACACTTGAGTTCGATGTCCCCCTTCGTGCCCTTTAAGATATCCAGATCGATCGCTAGTTGGATACACAATTTATTAAAAAGTAGTTCCTGATCATCGCCATGGGATTGGGACGCACTCATCCCTCTCTTTGACCAGCTTGTGGCCGTTGCGCACTTTTACCGCCTCGATGCCGACGCCTCGGCGATTCTGGGCAACGTAGATGTGAATGTGATCGAAGCGGGTCGCTTCGTACGAGTCATTCTCCTCCGAAAACTGCAAAGAATTATGAATCGCATGACGCACGCGTCTGGAAAACGCTATATATCCACGGAAACAGAAAATATTCATACGCCTTGCAGGCCCTTAAATCGAAAGTGCCAACCTGGGTATGCCGATAAGCGGTGGCCTCGTCGTTGGGGCCAATCTGCGCCTTTAGAAGTTCTCGAAGCTTTTCGGGCAGTATGTATTCGGGCTGAGATGTCATTTTTAGGTTCGATTTCGTAGCTGTCAACAAACCGTCGGCGTTCCATAGCGGTCCATGGTGAACGTAATGCGGAACGTCAGGAGTCGGCTAGCGCCATGGAGGGGACGATGCTAAATTCGGTTCCCTCTCTCTCACTCTCTCTCTCTCTCTCTCTCTCTCTCTCTCTCTCTCTCTCTCTTTCGCTACCTACCGTAAGGAAAGAAGCCACTAGTATCTCCATGACTATGTCCGTCGTATCCTTCCAGTTACCCTTCCCATTACTGCTTAGCCACACGGATATTTCGGGAATGTGCGCAACCTAGAACTCTGTGTTTACGATGTTGGTTCTGAGCTCCAGAACCTCCGCGAATATCAGCCCATATTCGCCATCAGTAACCGGTGGTCGCCAAGCAGTCGCCCCGTCTCCAAAACTAAGCGAGAACTAAATGGTGGGCATTAAAGAGGCTGAAAAATCATGCTCAACGGCGAGGCGACCGCGCCGTCTGCTGGCTAGCACTTTGATTTAAACGTGAAAACGCGTGAATGCCTAAATTTGATGTCATTTCTCGCATTCTTCGGCGGTATATGATGAATTATTCGACCTCTTGTAATTATCAAAATTTTCGATTAGCAACGGACGGCTTTTTCGGTCATGAAAGGACGTACGCGTTGCGGCTCGCGGTCTAAAGGACCCAAGTGGAAGCCCCTAGGGTATTTGAGGGTTTTTCGCCGCGCCGGCCCGGTTGGGGGTCATGGTGTTGTGGCTGGCACTCTGGGCTTTGGGGTGAACCATCGCTGGTTCGACTCCCGCTCGCTGCAAAACACTTTGCTTTTTCGCAAAATCTTTCTCGAGCCCTTGAAGCGCCAGAGCTTTTGTGAGCTCTCAGGGCTGTAAGTTGAACTTTCCATACCCTAGTTGGCTGACGGGCCAATTGCCGTTCTGCGCGCAGCATGGCCTTGAATTCCTCCGCCGTCTCTGCCATCTGGCCGGTGCCGAACGGCCCACGCAGCACGTCTAACGCGTCGCGTACCGGGCCTCCACCCTGAACAAGTGCGTGGAGTCAAGGCGAGAGAGCGAGAGAGTGAGAGAGAGAGAAAGATAGAGATAGAGTGCGGCCCATGCAAGGTGCCTTAAAAGACCCTTTAAAGGAGCGGTGAGACGAAGACATTATGAAAGCCAGTAGTTACCCACAACATTTTCGCGACTCGAGTAGCAGAACGACACCATTTGCTCGGGCACTGGGGCTAGTAGCCGATTGATAAACGCGATCTCGTCCCCCTCCGACTCGAAGCGCTTCGTGGTGACGTCGAATGACATTCTGTGTCTGGAGCTCAATTTACTTATATATATATACCGCTACACCGGACTCACACATCCCAGAAAATCAACTCCAGATGCGTTCCAAAATGACCGACGCGGACGTCTACATCGGTGCGTCCGGACATGCGTCCACTATCGGTGGAGATCGTGATTTGATTGCATGGGTGGAGCCTCGGAAAAGCCTATATTGAGTGCGTGTAAAAATAAGGGGACGTATCTTGCGTCATTTAAGTCTCGCAACGTACCGCTTCCGCCTTTGGTTTCGAGACGCAAATACTGCTGCCAAATCTTGTGCCCATCAGGAAATGGTGGGCCGGTCGTTGGTGGAAAATCTGAGATCAGAAAAGTCAGTGTGGCGTTAATTGAGGATACCCTAGCCACTGGGCGCAGCTTAAACTTTTGCCACAAGTCGATCCGGTGGTACACGGCAGTTTTTTGGATCTCCGTGAGGTCGAGGAAGTGGAATGGAGCTCGGCTTGTCATGCTGAAATCAACAGAACTCTCAGTTGATCGAAAAAGACAGCTTTAAAGGGACTAGGAAACGCGAGAATCGACCTCGATAGTTAGATAGGCATCTACCGCCACGCTAACTTTATGGAAAAACGGATTTTCAAGGCGTAACTGATTTAGTTCAGCGATAAGCCAGCGCTGCAAATGTCGGCTACACGATACTTATTGGCCTCTCCTTTTTCAAACCACGCGTGCAGTCGCGTAGTTTGGTTCGACATCACGAGCTTTTCACGCATTAATGACGACCGAATCGCGTCCGTCAATTAACTCAACCGATTACGCGACGAAAATAGAACCGGACATCCTATAAGTTTGTAGTAGATTTATTTTATACTCATGAATTGTAACCTTTTTTTTGTACTGTGCATATAGTGTGTTTTCTTGCGCATTCCATTATTTTTATAACTGGAACCGGAAGCTATCCAGTGTTTGACACCTCCACCGAGATAATCCTCGGCTTGTATCGTCGAAATACGCGAAAAATGTGCTCTCGATAGCTCTTGGTGACGAGGATGATGATCAGGTTGTTCATTATCGAATGCGCGCTGACGTAGAGCGGAGCCAGGCCACCTACTGAAAAATTGGCATTCGTTATTGCTTTAAAAAACTAAAAATCGATAAAACAAATATACAAACCGCCACGAAAGACGGTCGAGTTAATTTTTATACTCCGTGAGAACGTAAATTTAGCTCGGGGTCCAGAAGCGCTTCTACCTGTCCTTTGGACCGGCGCGTAGCTGGCTAGATTTACTCGATGCAAGGGGCGGATTTTCGCGCTTCCTGTTTCTTTAGCACATGTAATGATTCGTTATCGTTTTCCATTTTTTTTTTTCCGCGACAAGCAACGCACAGGACGTTAGCGCGATGTTAGAAACGTACGTAATTACGCAGCGTAGTGGATGAATTCGATTAATTGCGTACGCATTACGCGCCGGTACTCGGTACGCTAAAATCGCCACTCACACGCCCAGAACAGCTCCAAACCACGACTGTAACTGCGCGCCCGAAACTGGAACATCATCGTTACGAGGAAGATGAACCCGAACGGGCCGATGATGAAGAGGAATAGGCCAAGTGTCTTAAAAACATTTTTGTCAGTTTTTCGTCTTTTGAAAGGCCTTCTGAAGGTGAATTTTTTTGTGTATTACCTGCAAGAAAAAGACGGTCGCAAATTGTAGGCGAAGCAGCCGGGTGCGTCGGCTTTCCGCAGGACGGGCCGGATTTTTCTGTATATGGAAACGGCCGACGTTCTCGTAGACGATAGAGAGAAATACACACGCGTAGATGGTGCCTCCGAGAAACGCGGTGACCGCCACCGCTGCAAAGTACCACATGGCATCTGGGGTGAGTTCGATTAGGTAGCAGCCGACCTCGCCGCAGAGGTCGGGGATTCGGGCGCAGATCTGAAGATGGTTAGGCTGTCTCTGTCTCTCTTTCTCTCTCTCACTCTCTCTCGCTATCACTCGCTCTCTCTGTCACACTCTCGCTCTCGCTCTCTCTAACTCACTCTCTCGCTTTCTCCGGCTTTTTTCAGTACAAAATTACTCACCGCACTTTGGTCGACTATCAAGCCGCCCTGCTCGAGAAGGACCCTTGACGCCTGCATGAAGAAGAAAATACAAAATACAAAATTGAACGCAAGAAAACATTCGAGAATCCGATGCAGACGATGTCGCGTTGAGTTGACGACCTTTTGACGTCGAATCAGACCCGTATAAATAATAGCCGTCAGGAAAAGGCAGCAGCTGATGAAATAGCAATTCTAGAGAAAAATTAGCGTTTCTGGATTTTCGATCCATCTTGGTCTTCTAGATTCTATAAATTTTGCTAGTTTTTAGCAGCTTTCCAGCTTCATCGGCGTGTATAACGACAAAAACCAACCGCCACCAGCAATGCCCGAAATGGGCTGGGGTCGAAAAACATCGAGAGGGGCTTTGCCGCGCATTCCGGCAAAAATATGATTGGTTTGAAGAGGGAGACAAAGGTATCGCTCAGCTCACACACTATCTGAAGCAAATTCGCATGAAAGTAGATGTCCCAGAGCGGTTGTAAACCGCAAAATTTCGCCTTTTAAAGGAGCTCGAAAGGCTCAGAATCGACCCCCGCTACGGCTAGGTATCGCCAGCTACGCGCGTAGACAAATGACAAATGAGGTGTAGTCGTCAAATTTTTGCGAAACTGGTTTAAAATAGTTCCATAGGACGTTATTTGGCGTCGCGCGTAGCTGTCGAGGACCAGTGGATGCCATATGTTGTACGCTTCCTAGTTCCTTTAAAGTCCTATCTAGCATTTTTGGGATGATACTTTAGAAAAGGGTATCAGTACGGTCCTTAAAGCTAGCATACCAAGATAAAAAACTGCAATCGATTATACGCCGGCGTGGCTTTCGATCTGACGTATAAAAAGCAATAGGCTGAAACAAAAAATAGTGTCGTTCCAATTGTCCAGAACAAAGTGTAAGTTATAGAAATTATCGATTCGCCGGTGGGTGTTGGGAGGAACATTCCGGAATACTTTTTATTGAAGTTTGGGTACGGAATGCACTGTCGAGCAGGTGGATTTCGTAATTTAACAGCTGCGGTTGCGAATAAGTAGGAAGATAACACTGCAAATAATTGGTGGAAAGCTGCTCAGGGAATAAGAGGTGCTCTAGGTGAAAACGCTGTTTTAGAGTGAGGGAGAGTCAATGTAAGAGAGAGAGAAAGAACGAGACAAAGAGAGAGACAGAGAGAGACAGAGAGAGAGGGAGAGAGACCGACACGGCAGTGAGATTAGCCTTAAGCTTCGCCCCGGAAATCGCGTCAGTTTTGCGAACTCAATTTTTATTTCGAATCTTGACGTTTCATATCAGATTTCATTCGATAAAATTGACTAGGCGCCGATCTTTGTCTTTCCGGATTATCCCTTACTCTCCCTCTCTCTCTCTCTCTCTCTCTCTCTCTCTCTCTCTCTCTCGCTTTCCCCCTTTCCCTTCCGGTGACTCATTTTAACAGAATTTCGCGGCTATCTTATCGCCAATATTGACGCCCCGAAGGCGGGGTTGTTGTGGGTTAATTATATAAATGCAACGCGTTCTGTGGTCCCTTCTCAGTTAGGTAAAAATTACCCAGGCCAATGCACAACGTTTCTTGCGGTCCCGGGAAATTTTTAATTTTTGGATACGATTTTCCATCGTTGCCCTGTTTTTTGTACTTTCCAAGCTTTTTTAATGGATACAGGTTTTAAGGCTGATTTGAATCACAAAACAATTTTGAAACAAACAACAAACAACAAACAACAAAACAAAAAAACAATTTGAAAACAATGGCTAAGAAAGTATCGCAAGCATAAAAATTCTAGTTTATTAGATTTCCTGTATTTTTGCTACGCGCAAATTACTAAGGAAAAATAAACAATAAATAGAAATTTTACCCTTTTGCTGTTTCTCTCGCTCGAAAAATCGTTATTACAAAATCTGAAAATGTTTCGAAATTCCAGGGCTGTCCAAATTACATTTTTTGCCGTTCCTTTGCGGAACATTTCATCTTTGGTGCGGAACTCTGTCGTCATGAGCGATACGGCGGGACCCCGCCTCCTGTTTGTTTTTGGGGGCAGAGGCCCCAAAAACCCGTGAAATCCAAGAGGGGCGGCTCTCTTTTCGAAGCTGGAACGCGCTGACAGGTTACGACATGTTAAAAAAACGCAAATTACACTTTTTTTTTGATCACTATCGCTCTCCCCAACGTTTTCTTTCGCCCCAAAGGCTCGAATTTGAACCTTTCGTCGCGCTTGTCTGTCTTACCCACCTCTATCACTCGCTCGCTCAAGCACTCTCACCCTCTCGCTCTATCTATCTATCTCTCTCTCTCCCTCTCTCTCTCTCTCTCTCTCTCTCTCTCTCTCTCTCTCTCTCTCTCTCTCTCGTTCGCTCTTTGTGTCCCTCTCCCTCTTTAGCTCTAACCAGGGTTGAAAAACCGCTTCGCGGCTTTTCAACCCTGGCCCCGTCTAGGATCGATGAAGTTGTTGACTTTGCATAATCCTTGCCGAAAACCGCTCACCAAAAAATGAAAAGTGCGCCTACTCTTCCTTTTTATAAACCATTTCCACTTCCGGCGTATGCTAATTGCTTCCTAACAAAGAGGTTGGCAGAAAACTTTACAAAAACTTAATTTTAATATCGAAAATAGCAATTTTTTAAAACTTTTATGTGTGTGCAGTCGATTCCAGCCCCTTCTTTACCCTATGACGTTTCTTCCCTACCGAAAAAATGCTTCCCTGAGGCTGTAGGAGCGGAACATCCAAACGGAAGTGCATGCAAATATACACACACACACAAACACTATTTTTTTATATATAGTAGGATTTGAGAAAATTTACTTAAATTCTGGCTTTGCTAAATTATTATTTAATATTTTTCTAATTTACTATCCTCTACAATTTTATCTCAATTCCCATCGTGTCCTTAATTTTAATATTTTGTATAATTTTCTATACAGACGTTATGCCATTTAAAACGAAAACCCACCCAAATATTTTCAGAAAAATGGCTTTCCAAAAACCATCACGACTAAACTTCAAATTCCACATCTTGGTGGACAAAATGCCAAGTTATAGTAAGGAGCATTAACTATATTTTTTATACATATCTTAATTTAGTGCACTTATCTCAGCCAAATGGATGCAATTTATTTATTCCTGGGCACGCTGGTCAATGTTGCCGGCGGGATTCTGCAGACAAATGGCGCATACAGATTAGCGTAAGTTGATTTAGACGCTTAGAAAGTGATTTAATCTGTAGTTAGATTTTCGTTGCATCGAATTGTTTAATTACAAATTTTTTAATTTGTAATGTTCGATAATTTATTGTTTTTTTAGCAGCCTATGGCAAATTTTTATCGACAAAGAGCGCTATCGGTTGGAGCAAGAATCAGGTATGTTTAGCATTAGAATTTGTCGGTTTTCATTTCCTCTACCTTGTGAATAAACCCCCTGATTAGCCTAGAAGCATTCTGCAGTTGGTAGTTAACCGTCCTACAGTGAGCCCCATACCATTCCATTAAAATTTAGATGCGGGCAACCACACAATAAGCCTCGATATCGAAGGAAAATACGCTGAACTTGACGAAAAACTTTTGCAAATTTGCCAACTCTTGGCGATTATTGGATTATTGAGAGCAGCCGTTGGATTTGCTCAGGTATCAAAGCATAACGGCGAGAGAAAGAGAAGGAGAGTGATAGAGAGAGAGTGATAGAGAGAGAGTGATAGAGAGAGAGAGCGAAAGGAGAGAACGAAAGAGAGCGACAGAGTGAGGGAGAGCGATAGAGAGAGGAGAGAATGAGAGAAATTTCACTATTTTAGAAATCCTTCTTCATGAATGTGGCCGACAATGTGGGGAATCAACTGCGAAAAGTGGCTTTTAAGGTACCATTTAGCGATTAATCTTGTATACAATCTGCTTCCAGAAAATCCTGGATCAGGAAATGGCTTGGTTTGAGAAAAAGAAGCCGGGAGCTTTGTATGCAGAGTTGATGCAGTAAGTATGTCTCTCTCATCTCTCTCTCTCTCTCTCTCGCTTTCTCTCGCTCTCTCTCTCTCTCCCTCTCTCTCTCTTTCTCTCTCGCTAAACACTAATTCAGATCAACACAACGCGTTCGCCACGTCCTCAACATCCACCTCTTGCACTCGGTCCGTGCGACCTGCACAGCTATTTCTGGGATCTACATAGCCTTCTCGCTCAATCAGAATGTGGCCCAAATCGTGTTCGTCTTCTTCTTGTGCTACGGGCTGGCCACGTTTTGGTTGGATCGGGTAAGCCATTAAAAATTTTTCTTAAGTTATATTACCATTTAGCTCCGATTACACAACCGGGACCATCGGGTGAAGACGAGGGCATCTGGGAAGTTATTCAATCAGGTAACAGGAAGGGAGAGGATGAGAGAGAGAGAGAAAGAGAGAGAGAGAGATATCGAGAGAGAACGAGAACGAGAGAGACAGAGCGAGAGAGAGAGAGAACGAGAGAGAACGAGCGAACAATACAGGAAATGATAGTGAGAAAGAGAGAGAGAGAGGGCGCGCGAGAAAGATAGAGAAAGATATATAGAAAGAGAGAGAGAGAGAGAGAGAGAGAGGAGCACGCGAGAGATTCATATGTTTCAGGCCTTATCCTCCATCAGAACCGTCCAAGCCAACAATGCGCAGGAATTCGAGAAAAGGAGGTACGTTTTTAGGTTTTACTGGTATATTTATTGTATTTTTAGATACGCTCAAGCCCTCGAAGATACCGGAATCCTAGACCGGAAGAGCCTAATTATGGGCTCGACAATTAGCTGTCTCTATTTTGTCCTCACCCACATTTCGCACTGCTTCAACACCTGGATGGCTGCGGGGTACTTTTATGCCGGGGTGACGAGTGCGACTACCGTATTGGCCGTGGGTTTTTATAGTCTTAAAAATTATTGGGTATTTTAAAACCGGAGTAGCTAGCAGAGATTAGTGAGGAAGAACTTAAGAAACTATCTTCGCTGAAAAACTTGTAGAAATCTGGATAAAAATTAGTTGGGATCCCCTTTTGGAATTTCGAAGGTTTTGGAGTTTTGTCTTTGAGTGATTTTTAATGCTAAAATGTTTAATTTATTATGACAATTTTCAGATCGGAATGGCAGCCGATTCAGCCGCAGACGCTGTCGGCGACATGATGCGGGTGTTTTTCGAGTTCCAAAAGGAACTCGACGTCGCCCAGCCTTTATTTGATATTTTGGCATTAGAAAACGAAGAAGACGAAGATACGGTAGCCGATTTTATCTCAAAAATAACTGTTCTCGCTGAAATTCAGTCCGGGGCGTCAGATTCCGAAATCACCGAACGGATTTCGTTTAATGACGTCCATTTCACGTACCCGATGAGGCCGGAAGTTGAAGTATTAAAGGTCTGGTTTCTGGAATCACGCTAAAAGGACCTTCTGACAATTTAGGGTCTCACTTTTGACTGTGATCCCGGACAAACAATCGCTGTCGTCGGGTCCTCAGGATCTGGAAAATCGACGATACTACAGTTGATTCTCCGACTTTATCGTCCAAATTCTGGAGAGGTGAGATAGTAGAGGAATTGTGAATTCAAGCTAGAAAAAACCGTTTTAAGAATTCGGACGAAGTATCCCAGCCACTATGAAATAATTCCATTGCATTCCAAATTCCAGATCCGCCTCTCTGACATCCCGATCGAGAAATATTCGAGGAAAAATTTGAGGCACATTATTAGCGTCGTCGGGCAGGAACCGGTGTTGTTTAGGGCATCAATTCTTGAGGTATGCTCTTAACACTAGTTTTTAATGAATTTTAGAATATACGTTATGGTAAAGAAGATGCAACGGATGCTGAAGTGATGATGGCACTTCAGAAAGCTAATGCGTTGGATTTTGTCAGGAGGTTGCCAAATGTAAGTCTCTCTGTCTCTCTCTCTCTCTCTCTCTCTCTCTCTCTCTCTCTCTTTCTATGTCTCTCTCTTTCTCTCTATCTCTCCTTTTCTCTCTCTATCTCTCACTCTCACTCTCTCTCTCTCTCCTCTCTCTCTCTCTCTCTCAATGCCACCATTTAGGGCTGGAACACAAAAGTCGGTGAACGTGGCTGTCAACTTTCCGGAGGCCAAAAACAGAGAATCGCCATCGCCAGAGCCCTAATCAAGTTTGTGACCCCTGAATCAATAATTTCTGTACCTCTAGAAACCCTCGAATCCTGATCCTGGATGAAGCGACAAGCGCCCTGGACAGCCAGAGTGAAGCGGAAGTGATGAAAGTATTGAGGCGGAACTCGAGGAATCGAACGACCTTCGTTGTCGCTCATCGGCTATCTACGATTCGAGATGCCGACAAGATTTTGGTGGTCGATTCGGGGAGAGGTGGGACGTAAAACTATGGTGTCACAACACCTTTAAAATACCAAATCACTAAAAAAATCAATCATTCAGTCGTCGAGTCGGGAACCCACTACGAGCTGATGGCAAAGGATGGGCATTATGCGAATTTGGTCAAAGCGCAAGTGTATGACAGTAAGTTTGAAGAATTTTCTGATGAATTTGCAAGTTATCACGTATTTCTCTATAGATTTAAGGCCCTGAAATCAAAAAGTAATTTTTCGATAAACTTTTAGCACTGAGAAAGCGGCACTCTACCGAAGACTCCGAAAATCTAGAGGTTGAAGCGGAAACTGTGGAAATGGAGATAAAAAATGCTGACGTCGAAGAAGAGGAGAAAGACATTGTAAAACGGCTAGAGAAAGGTAAAAAAAACTGTGCGAGTCGGACAGAAATTTTAAAAACATCTCTGCTAGTTTGCCTCGGCTGTTTGGCTCGAATTCCCCAAGGGAGCTCTGCTTGGAGAGTGCCTTGGATTTCTAGGCCTTTTAGCTATTTTTTGAAGAAACTAATCAACTCACGTATTTTTTAGAATGCCTTGAAGAAGGCGTCACCCCAGCCGGATTCTCCCAGGTTTGGGCCTGGCTGGAGCCAGACAGAGCCCTAGTCTTTTTCGGATTGTCCGCCTGCTTACTCACGGGAATCATGAACCCCCTCTCT